CCTTTAGTAGGAGCGCCAGCAGCCCGGGCAAAAAGTTTCTCTCTCAATGCAGGCGAACAAGTCTGGCCAGTTGGAAGATGAATAGCTTGTCTGCCACATCTATTCATCTCCACCATCCCTGCCTTTTATCCCCAGAGTGAGTAGGGCTTTGCTCGCAGCAATGGTTCTTCCTTCCCAAGGACTGGCCCATGGATTTCCACAGCTCTCCTCTCCTCTGCCTTCTGTGCATTCGCGTGTCAGGGACTGGACCCAGCTGTTCCTCCTCTTCTTCATCAGCCACCTCCAGACCTAGGGGTTGCTGACTCTCCATCTGAGGGCTGACGGCCGGCCCAGGCTTCGCCTCTGTCTCTCTCTCTGCCAGCTTCACTCCCTCTTCCCCCTCGGAGCTCACAGATTGCCTTGATGCTGACCCTGACCCCCACGCCTCCTCCTCCTCCTCTGACTCGGCTGTTGGGAGGGACCAGCGGCCGATAGGCCATAACTCCATCCATCCATCCACCCAATTTAGGCAGCACCCATCTCACTATGCAATTTCACTACTAAAGTCTCCTTTCTCCGTGTCTGACATGGCAAGACAGAAGGAAAAGGATATTTAGACAAATTCTGCTGATGTGGAAGAGGAAGGAGCAGGACCAAAGACCCCGTATTCGTTTGATCTTTCTTAAGGAGTTAGGAAATACGCTACTTTCATTCATTGTTTTGCCAGGGGTGCTGCGGTTTCTAATGGGCACTGATGGAAGGCGGGTTTGGGTTCAAGGCCTCTCTAGGAAATGCCAGGAAGGGGTATGATTTGAATCCTGACAACTGCTGTGATCATTAAAGGCTAGATGGGACCCAAACTACACAATTCAGGAAGTGGACTGTTGTCTTCTACAGATAGTCCTCAACTGATGACCACAATCAAGCCCAATTTTCCACTGCTAAGCAGGACGGTCCAGTGAGTTTCGCCCTATTCTGTGACCTTTTTTTTTGACACGGTTGCTAAACGAATCTAGCATCTGCTTTACTTGGCTTGTCAGAAGGGCACAAAAGATGATCCCCAGAACACGGCAACCGTCGTAAATACACACCCAGTCTTTTGATCACGTGTCTACGGGGCTGTTCACGTGATCACGTGTCACGTGTTTATGGGGGTGCTGCAACCGTCGTAAGGGTGAAACAGTCGCAGGTCACTTATTTTCAGTGCCGTTGTTAACTTTGAACAGTCGCTAAACTAACGGCTGTAGGTCGAGGACTACCTGTAGTAAAATAAAGGAACTGCTAACTACTAATTTCACTGTGGTTTCACTTTGACAGAGGGAGAAAAACCTCTCTCTCTCTACAGCACACAGTTCTGTAAGCCTCTCGCATACCCTCCTCTAGCCGAGCACCAAATTCTTTCCCCATTAGAAGCCCCCCCTCCCAAAAAAAGCCAAACTCACTCAGATATCGATTCCCAGAAGAAGGGTTTGTTCATGGCGATCTTCTTGAGCTCATTCAGTGTGTCTGTCAGGGTGGCGCTGAAGAGCATTGTCTGCCTGTTGGCTGGAAGTGCAGCCATGATGACTTCCAAGTCTTTGGTAAAGTCAGTGCAGCCTTGTTCTAACAATCGGTCAGCTTCGTCCAGGACCTAAAAGAAAAGCAAAAAGGGGACAGGAATATTCTGATGTAAGCTTCCCTGAAATTATGAAGCAAACTCCTTGTCCCGACAAACCCCCCTTTTATTAAGTTACTGTGAATTCCTCTCATTCACATCCAGCAAAGTCTTTCAAGGGAGGATTTACAGTCACAGACTTTATCTGGCTTGGAGAGCTTACAGGCCAATATCTGCAAAACTTGACAAGGAGTCTTGGAGAGTCACAAACCAATTAAGCCAACTAATTGCCTCCTGCAAACTCCACTCTCCCTTCGCTCCTCTTTTATTTCCTCTGGGAGGAGCCATTCATCATCCACCTNAGAAGGAAGTCTGCACATGAAATATGCTGAAGCGAAGCATCTATTTTAGCCTATTTGCTGGCTTGGTTGTTAATCTGTTTAGTAGACACATATTGTTAGTTCCTCAAAATACATGCTATGTCTGTCCTTTGGCTGACCTATGTATTATGACTTCCTGTAGACATAATATTGCTATAACTCAAGGGCAAATCTTGAGGGGTGTTTCCAAAACAGATGGCATTAGCTGAAAACGATAAACTATATAAGGAATTTCCTGACTTTCACTCAGGGTTCAGGCCATTTTTTCTGAACCTGCGCAATAAACATTTCCTTCTCTGAAGAGCTGGCTTTTGTGTCCCGTCTTTTCTACAACAGAACTGTGCAGCTTATATGTTACATTAAAACTGGAAAAAAATTCTGAAGTGATTTATCTTACTTCTGATTAGTTGACATTCCAAAAACCTCACATTTTAACGGGTGAGTATAGGCTTTTTAAAACATCCAGTGTAAATAGGAATTTAAATTGTAAAACCATACCAGATACGGCTTGGATTTGTCTTCTGGCTGGCTCCTAAGGAAGTTCTCCATCAAGGCCATCGCCTGGGAACTTGTCTGCGGCCTCTTTGACTGAACCCAGTCCTGAAGCTTTGGAGGTAGGCTGGCCAAAAATTGCTCTAAGATCAAGAGCTCCAGAATCTGATCCTTGGTGTGTCTCTCCGGCTTCAGCCATTGGTGGCAAAGCTCCTGGAGATGGCTTTGAACCTTTCGTGGGTCTTCCACTTCCTGGCAGTAGAACTGCCTGAAACGTTGACGCTGGGCCTCGCTTTTCACAGCATCTCCCCTCAAGATGGCCACCTTCACGTTCTCATAATCCTCTTGATGAATGGTGTCCAGGCTCTGAAAGGCCTCTTCAGCTTCTCCATAAAGGGCTGGCAGGAGTTGGGCCACCCACTCTCCTCTGGGCCACCGGCAGGCCGTGGCCACCTGCTCAAAGGAGGCCAGGAAGGCCTTGGGGTCATTCCAGGGGGAAGCCTCCAGGTTCCCATCTGGGTAGGTCAATTGTGTCTCGAGAAATGGCTCCCATTGTGTGCCCCAGTGCTCCTCCATCCTATTGAACGGATTGCTTTTGATTTTTTCAAGTGGTTCCTAAGTTGCTTTGCGTTGGCAGGCTGGCTGGAAAAGCCAAGTCTTTCTGCTTCTTCTGATCCCTCCTCTTCTAGTTCTTTTTGATGCTCTCTCGCCTGTTTGCTTTCTGAAAACCAGAGTTGTGTATTTATCAGATTAGATCACTTTTAGCACAATCGGGCAAGACTGCCTAACACAGGAGTCCCCGTCCTTTGGGACCTCGGGGGCAACTAAATTCATAATTTTAAATTCCGCGGACCACTAATACAAGCTGCCTAATGACTGGCTGGGTGGGCGTGGCTAGGTGGTCATGTGACTGGATGTGGCATGACCACCTAGCCACATCGAGTGACTCGATGTCACTCACATTGAGGGGTGCCTCACCAGCCTCTATTCGCCCCTCCCCTCCCAGCCCTCGCACCCTTAGGGCTCCTTAGGGCCCCAACAGGAAGCAGCTGTTGGAGCTAAGCAGCCACCACCAGAAAGAGTTGGCAAAACAGCTGGCTCAGTTCAAATTGGATCTGACCGAGAAGGAGGCTCAGTAGAAGCACCTCACTGAGGACTAGGAGCATAGGCTTTCCAAGCAGAGAGAAGACCTGTAGGAGTGCAAGGCCAGGTACTGACGCCTGGAGGCTTAGCGGGCTGAGATGGTCAGCCAGTTTCAGGCCATGATGCAGTCCCACTGGAACGAGGCCCTCCAGCTCTTCACTACCAGTGGCACTTCGCTCCAGCCTTCGCCCAAAGCCCCATAAAGCCCCATATCAAGAGGCTGAAGCAGACCCCGTCAGAATTTCTACCAAGCCTCCGACCCACAAAAAAAGACCCTGAAGGGGGAGACTCTCTGCAGCAACACAAGCTTTCATTGCACTATTCATTCCAGGGACTGAAGTTTGAGGACCCCTGATTTGGTGCAATATAAAAAATGCAAATACGGGGACCGCTGGTCTAACAGGTTAGAGACTGTGAAGATGGATAAAAGAAAACTGACATTTGCTTTTCCAAGATTCATTTTTGTAGGATTAAGTCAACTTTCGTCCTTCTCCCAAGCTAGAGAAAAGGGCACAGGGCAGCTACACTACCCACCCGCATGCGGAATAACATCCTAGGGGCACTTTATAGACACACAAATATGTACATTTTTACTACTTTTGTGCATTAAAAGGACCATGCTTTTAAACGGGCATCCTATTCCAGCAAACTTGAAATTGCCAACCAGAAAAAACAACACAACGGTTCTTTCTGTAGCTTAAAAAAGTTAGCTGTTTTCCCAACCCCTTTATTTGGGGGAAGAGGGAAGCCAATCATGCCCGCTTCTGCTCTCCTCTCCCAAAAATCAAAGGCTTAGCTTCCAACCCGGGGGTGGGGTGGGGGGGTGTCACCCTGCTTGTTGTGCAAATGCACACACCCACAGAAAAACGCGCGCGCGCGCGCACACACACATTCGGGGTGCAAGAGCTCAGCGGCGGCCCTGCATCGGCGCCCCCCACCCACCCCCGACACGGAGGAAGATGGAGAAGATCTCCCCTTTCTTCTCCGCGCTCCGGAGCCCCGTTGTGCCCGGCCCACCGAACCCCCCCCCCTCCTTGCGCTGGAAGGGAAAGCAAAGGATGCGATGCAACCCAATGCAATGCAATTAAATGCAACCCAACGCAATGCAAATGCAATGCGATGCAGGCTCCGGGACCGGGGCTGGAAGGCGGGCAGGCGCGCGCCTTTCCCGGGACGGAGGGGAGGCCTCCCTTTTGCTCCGCCCGCTATTTTGGAAGAAGCCCCCCACCCCCCCCAGCTCTCCCCCTGCAGAGCTCGCAGGAGCCCCTTACCGCAAACGGCAAAGAGGCCACCGATCTCCCGTCTGGGTTCCACCCGGGGGGGGCGGGGAAGCCCGGGGGGCGCCTTGGGGGGAGTCCCGGGTGACCGGAGGGGCTGCGCGGCTGCAGCTGCTCCCGCCTGTCCCCGCCCCTTGCTTCGCGGCAGCCAGCGGTCCTTCCGCGGGCGACCCCTCCCGGACGGCGCCGCCACTGCAAGCGTTGCTTTCAACCAGACGAGCGAAGGAGAAATTTCAGCCACGCCTATCCCGAAAGTGCTTTTTTTAAAGATTAGACTTTCTTCTTCTTTTCTTTAAAGACATTTAAAGTGACATTAAAGTTCTATTCTAGTCTTCATTCCAATATTCTACTGTATTCCATTCTATGCTTCATTCCAATATTCTATTCTATTCCATTCTCTACATATTCTATTCTAGTCTTCATTCCAATATTCTACT